GATTCGAATAGAGTAGAGATTCAGATATAGACTGATTTTCCCCACTGCACTCCATTCCTCTTCTAGAGTGGCCTCGGTGGCCCTTCATCCTCACTACAGAGTCCAAGACTAACTTTGGTCCTTCCTGCTTCGGAGCTAGGAGAGACCAGTTCCTCATGTGGGTACATTGTGTATGCGGGGCTCGGGCTGGAAGATGGGTTTCCCCCACTATCCCCTCCTCACCCTCCCCTCAGTGAGTATATTTAGCCTTCCTCCTCCAGCCCAGGCTGTCTCTCCCTCCCTCCTCCTCCTCCCCTCCCCCCGCCCCCCCTTCTGCTCTGCCTGGAGACAGCTCTGACTGGGGCGGCCTCTCCCACCTTCCCGGCCCCCCCCTCAGGATTCCTGACCCCAAGCGGGTGAAAGAACCCTCTCCTCTGAGACTCCCCAGGGCGCCCAGCTCTCCTCGCGCCCACCCGCGGTGAGAAAGCCTTCTCCCCCCCCCCCCGCCGGATATTGGGAGGCACAAGGCAGAGCCAGAGAAACATGGGGATGGGGAAGGATGGAGGCATAATGAGAGGGAGCCACAGAGACACATAGAGACGTGGGGATAGGGGGAATCATCTATCCCTCCGCCAGCTTCCTCGGCCACCAGGCTTCCCCAACCCCCCAGTGCAAGTTCACGGCTAGCCTGGGTACTAACACCCCCACCGCATAAGTCCCTCTCCTCTCTACCCCCTCCCCGTTTCCACCCTCATCCCCATCCCAGTGGTTCTCTCTTCTCCTGGAGAAGGGCCGAGGCGGAGGCCAGGAGAGGCGGGGCCTCCCACAGCTGTTTCTGCTTGGAGAGAGGAATGTGGCCAGGCCCTCCCGGGGGGGAAAGGGGGGGGAGAGTGTGAAGGAGGTCTGCAAAGCCCTAGGCCTGTTCTCCCCCATCCCCCCTCATGAGTTAAAGCCCACCTCTTCCCCCTAAAAAATAGGGGCTAGCATTTCCTCCCCCAACCGAAGGCCAGGGCTGGGCTGAACCGGAGGAAAATCGACCAGAGAGCATCAGGACAGGGAAATTAGGGCCTGGAGGGAATGACACGGGATTGGGGGTCCGGGGGCCAGGCCTGGAAGGAGAGAGATCTGGATGCTCAAAAGGGGACGCATTTAAGAAGTTAAAACCAAATGATAAACGGAGAGACCAAGAAAGGGGAGCCTGAGGGATAGAGAGGGAGAGACAATGCCCCGCCCCCCTCCCCAGTTGACCTTCGCATCCCTTGCAGGCTCATCCCGCTACCCCGGGTCTGGGAGCCCTTAGACTAAGCTCAAGTCGCGACAGGGAGGGAGGAGGGCCCCAAGCACGCTGCACGAGGCTTACAGCGTCCAGGTGACCGCCTGGGCTCTGGCCCTCTCCTCCTGTGAGATCGCCAAGACCTCGAGCAGGAGAGCAGCGTAAGAAAGAGAGTGGAGACGCGGACCCCAGAATGAGACCTGGGGATGAGGGATGTGCCTCAAGTCCTCCCAACAGTTCTCAACGCTGAGCCCCCTCCCAGGCCTGCCAAAGCGGAGAGGGGACCCCCAACCTCAGCTCCCCAACGATTGGGGACCGAGGGGGAGGTCCACCCCCTGCGGCTCCGACTCCCCCTCCCCCTCCAGTCCCTTCTAACGGATCCGTGGCCAGGGCAGAGGGAAGGGGCTGAGATGCACAAGGACAGGGGTGGGAGGTCCACGCAGGAGTGGGAGAGTAGGGGGCCGTGATCCCAGAGGGGAGGGCTCGCAGGGCACGAGATCCGCCGCAGGATGGCTGGGGCCGAGGGTCGGGCCGGAATGTCGCCCAGGCCCTGCGAGGGAGGAGGACGAAGAGGACACGAGGGCGGGGGGCTGGGAGGGGCCGGACCCCACGGGGGGATCTCCAAGCGCCCTCCCCGCACTCACCAGCTGCTCCTCCAGCGCGGCCGCGGCCCGGCGCGCCGCCGCCTCGTCGTCGTCCTCCTCGCCATCGTCGTCGCCCAGGGCCTCGTCCTCCTGGTCCCGGCCGTCGTCGGCCGCCTCGCCGGGCCCCGCGCCCGTGGCCAGCGGCTGACCGAGCCGGAGCGCCTGGCGCACGCGGAACTCCTGGCGCTCCCGCAGCCAGTGCAGCTCGCAGAGGCCGGCCAGGCTGCCCTCCAGCCAGCCCCGCAGCCGGCCCCGCTCCGGGCTCACGGGGAACGAGAAGGCCCGGATCATGGCCGCGTCGTCCCCTCCGCCGGGCCTCGGCCCCCGCTCCCGGCTTCCCTGGGGGCCCCCAGCGCCCCGCCGGCCTCGCGCCCGCCCGCCGGTCCGGCCCGGCTGTCACCGTCTCATCTGCATAGGCCGCAGCCCATTGGGCTGCGGAGCCGAGGCTGATCTGCATCGCCCCGCCCCCTAGGCGCTGCCAGTGGGCTTGCCCATTGGTGGTTAGCCGTTGAGCCACGCCCCTCGGCTCCCCCAACGGCAGGGCCATTGGTGGGCCTCCGGGGTCTGAACGGTGAAGATCTGCATAGACCACGCCTCCCGTCCCCCAGACCCCCGCGGTCGGAACATTGGTGGGCCTTCGGGTTCGAAGCCCTAATTAGCAGCATAGCCACGCCCTCCACCCCACCCCATCCCCGTCACTGCCCTCGGGGGCTGCCGGCCATTGGTGAGATTTCCTATGTCTGCATAAGCCCGCCTTCTCCTCCCTGCCCGGTCTCATTCTGCCTACCCCGCGCCATTCGACCCTCCCGGATTCGCCACGCCGCCCTGTCCTTCAACGGCGTAGTCCCACCCCCCACCTCCCACCCCCCCATCCTCCCTTTTTTTTCCTGTGATTTGCTGCTCAAGGCCCCTCGCTTCACGGCACCCGCTGATTCGTCTATCTGCGGGAAGGGTGGGGCGGGCATCAATAGACTGGCCTCTGAGAACTTGAATATTATAATTAGAGAAAGTTGGGCGGGAGTAAAAGAGAGGGCCGAGCGCCCTTTCTCTTAGCTCATCCAATCGGGTGACGGTTAGGGAAGGAGGGCGGATCGCCCTTTATCCTCCTCCTCTTCCTCCCCTCCCCAAATCCTCCATTCTCTCCGCCCCCGCCCCCACCCCATCCTGCCGGTGCTCTAAAGCTCTACCTCCTCCAGGAAGGCTTCCGTGATTCCTCCAGCAGCATTCACAATCTGGCTCCAGCCACGCTCCTTTCCAGCTTGGGCCAGGCTCTGATTATGCACGGGATGGAGCCGGAAGGAGCCAAAAGACGGCAGCGCATGGTGGAGAGGGATCAGGAGGTTGTGGACTGAGGACCGTGGGAGTATCCTCTGAAGGGACTGAGGATGTCTCCCAGGAGAAGACTTAGAAGGGACTTGAGGCATGGTCAGGAGTCCCAGAGAGTGTAAGCTCCTCGAGGGCAGGGCCTAATTTGTCTTTGTATCCTCCAGGGTAGGAGATAGCGCCGAGGAACTCCCGGGGGGGGGGAAATCCCCCTCCCAACACACATCTGCACCAAGCTGGGATGGAGCCCAGGGATCCACGCCTAGCATGTGTCCACTCAGAGGCTGGGCTGAAGGCTCCCCAAAGTCAGTTCTCTAGTCTAAGTGCATGTAGTAGGTGCTTCATGCTTGTCGATCTGAACTGGAGTATTTGCAGGGCTGTCACTCGGAAGAGGGGTTAGTCAGGCCAACAGCCCATAGCTGGCACTGATACAGTGCTCTTAAGATTTGCAAAGCACTTCATAAACATGTCATTTGATCTTCACAACACCCCTGGGAGGTAGGTGCTACTCCTATCCCCATTTTACAGCTGAGGAAACTGAGGCAGGCAGCAGCAAAGTGACTTACCCCTGGTCACACAGCTAGTAAGTTTCCAAAGCTGGATTTGAACTTGGGTCTTCCTGACTCCAGGGTCTAGGACTCTTTGTCTACTGGACTGAACTTTTCCTGTTTAATTCCAGAGAGGAGGGGCAAGGGAGAGTAGCGTAAAGCAGATTTTTGTCTCCAGGTCAGAAAAATCTTTCTGTCAGAGCCGCCTAAAAACAGGATGGATTGCCACAGGCGGTGATAGTGGTCTTCAAGCTTGGCTGGAGGAGAATTGCCCAGAGGTCATTGGCCTGGCTCTGCTCTGGCCATAAAGATTGTAAAGGAGACAAGAATCTGAGCCTTTGTCCTGTCTCTGACGTGGACTGCGATATTGTCCAAGACTGTTTCCTTATTTATAAAATGAGAGAACTGGACTTATTGGCCTCCAAAGTCCCATACATCTCAGAAATTACACAGTCCAGGCAAATTGAATTGGTTTGTTGTTTTGTTTTTTGGTACCTTCAGTCTGGTACAGTGACAAGGTCAGGAAGGAATCTCCTGCCCCATGCCTTCCCATCTAGACCCCCATATCTCTACCTAGATGGCCTTTTAAGGTCTGTTCCAGCTCTGACATTCCCTGTTCTAAGGCCTTTCCCAGCCCTGACATTCCCTGTTCTAAGGGCCCTCCCAGCTCTGACATTCCCTGTTCTAAGGTCCCTCCCAGCCCTGACACTCCCTGTTCTAAGGGCCCTCCCAACTCCAACATTCCCTGTTCTAAGGTCCCTCCCAGCACTGACCTTCCCTGTTCTAGGGCCCTCCCAGCTCAGACCTTCCCTATTCTGAGGACCCTCCTAGCTCTGACATTCCCAGTTCTAAGGGTCCTTCCTTCCAATGATCTTGAGAGTCTCAGGTAGAATTCAGAAACACGGCATGATCTTTCCAGGGTCCCTTCCTCCCACCTCAATAGGCTGAGCACTGTTTCTCCAGTCACATCTTTTTGAAAGGAGGGGTCTTGACTCCCCCTGGTGGTCCAGCTGCGTGGCTGCCGCACACTTCCCCTCTCCGCAGGACTTCACAGGATGGAGAGCAGGAACGGACCTTGGAAGTCCCCTCCCCCATCCCCCAGGGGCCCTGGGCCCCCACATCCTGCCCCCATCACCTCTTGCTGTAGCATCCATCGGGAGCCCCAGAGTCCTTATGATGGGGGGAAAGGGAAGGCAGGGACAGTCAGACAGACCGTCGGACAAAGGGGAGGGCTGAAAGACAAGGTCCCTTTACTGTTCCAGGGGTAGGTGCTCAAGGGAGGGGCATGCAGGGGCGGGGCGGGAAGGGTACAGCCCGGGGCTGCTCCTGGTCATCTCTCACTCCGCCTCCGCTCCGCTCAAGGGAGGGGGTTGGGGGTGGGGGGACAGGAGTTGGAGGCTCCTTCCACCAGAGGCGCTTGGAGATCCTGCTTCCCAAGCAGCCTCAGAGGACACTGACCCGCTCGGCCAGGCCCTGCATCTCGTGGTCCTGAGGCGAGAAGGGCTGCGCGACCCTCCCCAGGCCCCCGACCCCGTCTCCGTCTCCGGGCTCCCCGCCCTCTCCTGTCCCGCGCAGGTGTGTCGGGTAAGGCAGCGTGTGTTCGGCAGCGAACTGCTCCCAGCGGGCATCGTCACTCTCGTGGGTGATGTGCCGCTCCCCCATCTTGCCCTCGAGCTCCCGCAGGTCCAGCCAAGTCTGGTAGTCCTGGGAGGGGAAGAGTTAACCAGGGAGGGGACCACCCACAAGTCCCACCACCAATAGGATCGGAAAGTTCCCGCCCTTATCGCCCACTCGGCCAATGGCAGAGGGGTGCACATCTACTCCTGGGCCAGGGGCCGGTGCCACCGCTCACCTGGAGCCAGGGGTGGCTGAGCGACTTGTCTACACTGTAGCGCTTTCGCATCTTCACCTGCAGCAGGTTGTTGATCAGGTCTATGGCTGTGGGTGTGGGAAAAGGATGTGGGGGGACCGTCCAGCCACTCAAGGAGAGCCCCAGAGTGGAAGCCTCCCTCCCCGGACCAGCCAAACCCCGGGGCCTTCAATTCCTCCCCGCCTGGCCTCATTCATTCACGAATGCATTCATTCCCATCCCCTCGGGCCTCTCAGTAGCTACCTAGTTGGCATCCCTAAGATGCAACACTGGGTATTGGTCATCTCTTTCTCTGTGGCCTCGGGACTCCGTGAGGCCAGTGACCTATCATTTCTGGTCTGGACCTGGGTTCATCTGAATGAGGAGACGCCAGCTACCTCTCTCTGCCTCTACACAGATGCACCTTCAAGTCTCAGAAGGATTCCTGGGGGCTTTGTCCGAGGCAGGGTTTGAACCCAGGTCGGGTAGATTCTAAGACCTGCTCCCAAGGCACTTTCCTTTCCTCCTCATATCACAACAATTAAGGAAGGAGGGATGTTGAGCTTTTGCGTGGATTTAGTGCCTCCAGTGTGGGAGGTTCAGTACTGACTGGACAGAGGCCACGAAGCCGGTTAGCATCAGGCCCCTGGCCTTCACCCTTCAGCTCAAGCCTCTCCTCCTCCTGCCCCCTGGTCCCAATGGGGTACCTCCAGCAGAGATGTGGCTCCAGGGGCTGGCTGGGTACATGAAGGCCGCATTCTGGATCTGGTCATTAATGTCCTCGTCCTCATTAAAGGGGAACGTGCCGCTGAGGCTGACGTACATGATCACACCCACAGACCACATGTCCAGGGAGCGGTTGTAGCCCTGATTCAGCAACACCTCTGGCGCCAGATATGCAGGGGTCCCCACGACCGAGCGGCGGAAAGACTTCTCCCCGATTATGCGGGCAAATCCAAAGTCACAGAGTTTCACCTGTGGGCAGGAAGGGGCCTTAAAAACCTAAGCCAGCCCCCCCCCCAACTTACTACAGGTTCAGAAAGGGGAACTAGGTGGCTGACAGCTTTACAGGGTGCCACCCCCACCCAACCTCCTTTTGTCAGCCTGCCCCCCACAAACCTTCAGCATCACTGTGTGGGAGGAACCTACATGCATCCTAAATCCCTCAGTAGTAGGGATGGTCCAGACTGGCACATCTGCCCCATCTGCACCTGCACCCTCAGCCCAGCCCTCCAGACACCTCGCCTTCCTCTCTGGGGCAGCCATTCCAGCCACTCCCTCAGGCATAGGCCCCCATCTTGCTGGACCATCGGTAATCCGATCAACACTTCCTTTATTTCTGGAAAGGGCCCCAACCCCCATCCCTGGTATTTCCCAGACAAACACCCTCCCCTCCCTGGCCATCACTCCCCTGATATATATTGTCTCCTCCTTTTAGAATATAAGCTCTCAGAGGGCAGGCCTTGTCTCACTCTTGTACATGCACCCCCAGTGCACCTAGGACAGTGCTTAGTACACAGAAGGTACTTAGTAAATGCCCTCTCATTAACTTATGTTCAGGAGGGCAAGGCTAGGGAGAGACTCCCCAAGAGCTGACCTGGGGGAAGGGGTCCGCTGAGGCCAGAAGCACGTTCTCTGGCTTCAGGTCACAGTGGACGATGTTCTTGAAGTGCAGGTGTCTCAGGGCCACCAGGATCTGGGGAGAGAAACCAAGCGAGGGCCCAGGGAAGAGACCCTGCCTCCCAATTTCTCCTCTAATCCCCCAGCCTCTCCTTCCTCATCCCCATCACCTTGGCCTGGGGGAGAGGGAATGGACTGGGAAGAGGACGAGGGGGATAAGATGGAGAGGGGAGGGGGATAGGATGGAGGGGGAGGGGGATAGGATGGAGAGGGGAGGGGGACAGGA